GAACAAAAAAATATCTAATTTAAAAAAGATAGCATTAAATAACAAATATTACAATAATGTTCCACACACTTTAACACATTATTTTATGGGCTTTATACATCTCCTGAAATAGGAAAAGAACATCGTTTCCGGTTGAGACAGGCAAAGTAAGCCCATCGATTTTTTATTTTATTTTTTTATAAAAAGAGTAGGCCTTTTTTGAAGTGAAAGTAGCATGAGACATAACTTCTCGTGTAACATAGAAGTTATATCCCCTTAATTTATACTTCTATAATTGGTACAATTTTTTTTTTGGTAAGCTATAATTTGTACAATTTAATTATAACTAAATCCATTTTATTTTTCATACATTTATACTCCGACTTTTAAGGACAATTTATTTAAAATTTGAAAAATATATTTTTATGATAAAAAAATATTATATTTATAGCCTTTTTTTTCTTATAATCTCTTAGAATCATTTTTATTTTTATTGGATCAAAATCAAATCAATAATTATAAAATAATATTATATGAGGGTATCGATTTGATTTTGATCTAATAACTATAAAAGTAGTTATAAGAGGTTGTAATAGAAAAGATGTTGTAAGGGAGGTGTATTGGGTTAGGATTTTAAATGAATTTTTTGAGATAAAAAATCTTATAGATTTTAGAAGACTATTCAGAATTAGAGGGACTTTAAAAAAAATTAAAATACTTTTTTTACAATCAAGATTTCATAAGATTGTATTTTAAAGGATTTTAATAGAATTTATAAAATTTGAAAAGACAATATGGATTTATAAGATTTTAAAAAATCATATGAATTTTTAACAAATATTCAAAATTACAAGAGTCAATAAAAAAATAACAAAGAGTTTACCCGAAAAAAAAAACAAAGAATGCAATGATATTAATAAAAAAAAGTAAAACCTAAATAATTTTTTCAATCGGTAAAACATAATATAATTTTTAACAAACATTCAAAATTACTAAGCAACAGCTCTCCACATATCTAAAGTTATACTAGTCTTCCACGCATTAGCATTTTCTCGTTCTCTTGGGTTTGACCAGTGGGTTAAAAATTATCTTCTTCATTTGATATCAGAACTATGCATATATGATTATAAGACACAATTTTTTGGAATTTCGTTTGGAATTTTTTTCAATTGATCTTGGAAACCTTGGGGTTTTTGTTCTACGTGATGAGAGTTTTCTAACCATATATCATATGCATGTTTCCATTGAGTATTCTAAGAAAATTTCAAATATGAATTTCTGTGTTTTATTACATGAAAGTTTAGAAAATTTCTCAAATTATTTTTAATCGATACATTGAAACCTTAAATTGCTTTGGGATTTTTGAAAAATAAGTTTTTAGTTATCTATTGACACAAAAAATGTTTCTTATAACGAAGAAATTTAGTTCATGAATGTATTGTTACGAAATATAGGGTCATATTATGAAAGTTTCAATATTTCTTTAAATTGATATTGTCTCATTGTTGTAAAAAAAAAATTGGTTTGAGGTTTTTAGTTCCTCTGTTGTTTTCCTACTATTTTAGGGACTAATATGGTTTAATGATGAAGTAATGAAGGACTAAAAAGGTCCTCGATAAAAAATGTTGAGGACTAATAAGGGATATTAACTACTGATGAAGCTTGTTCAGTTATGCTAAACATGAACCCAAATGTGACACAACAAACAAATTTATGGCATCCTGTATTGACAGAAACAAGAAAGTGGTCCTACTGCAAGTACTAATCCAAGGATGGTTTGTTTCCCAATTCAAAAATTCAACATCCAAAAGAGAGCAATGACAGGAAACAGATAGTTACAAACACAATTCCCATTCATTTCATCACCAGATAATTACAATTTCAAAAAAACCAACTGACATAATATACCATTAAGACCAACACAATAGTCTTCCAAAAAAACAAAGTTTCCTACTTAATATGGCCATAACCAGAGGCATACAAAAAAAAAAGCCATCTGACACATTTGAACAGGGCCAAAACCAAAGTAATTCCAAATAACTGGCCTAATTACAATTCCAATGAATTCCTATATCAGAGCCATACAAAAAAAGGCCTAATGTCAGTGATTATTCCAATCATTTATGTGGGGCTGGCCTAGGTGGGGGGTGACTTGCAATTCGCAAGTGGATCCAGGGTTGCTCCTCAACAGCTCAGCAAGATATTCTCTTAGTCTTCCATATTGTTCCTTCTCACAATCTTCAATGGTTCCCTTTGCTTTTTTCAAAGCCTTACTTACTTTCTTCATATTCAAATGAACATTGCATTCCTTCTTCATGTGCTCAAATGCCTCTGACCTGGACATCTTGGGCTATGTTAGTATCCTCTTCTCCAATTTCTTGGCCACCCAATCTCGAGTAGCCCTTTTATTCAAATGTAGCATCATCCATCCATGTAAAAAAGTTACAGTGTGGCTTCTTTTTCTAAACCAAATTAAACTAAACAGTTAATAATGTTGAAATTAGAAAAAAGAACACATGAAAAAATAAACCTCACCTTGAAATTAGGGCACCCAAAAAATGATCTATTGGGGTTTATAATGGTCTTGGAGGTGTAAACAGCATTGTGCCTCCCACATTTACAATGGAGCAGCTCTCCTTCTTTCACTTCTGGACCCAAATGAACTACTTGAGCTCCCCCTTCCAGAAGAATTATTCATCGCATAAAAACTAAGAAGAACCCTAAAGTTATCAGTATAAACCCACAATCACTATACCATAAAATCAATTTTCCCCAAATTCATAGGTTCAATCTTCGATTTAATCCCCTGCTTTCTGGTTTAGGAAGAACCCTAAATGTTGAGACGACGACGTTCCTTGGATGAAAGTGAACTTATTCTGACCAACGTGGATGTGCTCTCTCCAAACGACGTAGTTTCTAATCCAACGTGGCGTTCAGCATGTCACTTAACGTGACACATCAGCGCCGTCAGTGACACCGTGAGTTTTGGACTAACAGAAGGACTAATGTGGGTCCTGTTTCTCTTTGTTGGGGACTATCCAACGAATTTATTTTTGTGAGGGACTAATTTGGACACCGAATTTTTTGTCAGAGACCAATTTGGACATTTACTCATACAATTATTATGCTTTTATATGTGGGTCACGTAAGATTCTAGAACATTTGATTAACCGTTCAATATACATTTTTTTTCGGTGATTAACCGTTCAAATTCTGATCTCTTACCATTTTCGTTTTCATTTTAACGCGTATGCCGGGCAAAAAAATTTAATTAATGCTTTTTAATAAAATAATTATGCATTTATTACAGTTTTGAGAATAATTACAGATCTATTGCACAATGTGACGCCTCATTTGGGCGTCTCTCATGAGGTGTTGACACGTGTCATTTTTTTCCAAAAAAATAAATAATTTAATCATAAAACTTCTGAAGGCCATAACTTTTGACTCGGGTATCCAATTCAGGTAATTCTTTTTTTGATTCCACATAACTTTTTGAGATCTACGCAATGACATCTCATTTGATATATTTTATTTCTCACAAACATAATTTAATTTAAATCAGGTCTTTCAAATTGATACAGATTTAATTATTTCATTTATTAATACAGATTTTCAAATTAATTTTTGAGTTTAAATCACAAATCAAATCTTTATTTTGTTTTCCTTATTAATAATAATTGTAAATTTTAATTTAAATCACAAACCAAATTTTTTTATAATACAAAATAAAAAATTTATTTTTTAAATTAAATCACACATCAAATCTTGATTTATTTTTTATATTAAATCACAAACGCATAACTCATAGGCTTCTGAGTTTAAAAATGTGACACGTGTCAAAATCTGACACGTCACCAATCACGTCTAAATTGGATTTCAATCAAGTGACAATCACACATAATTTAGGTAATTTTATTTTTGAAAAACATTCTTAAGCCATCATTAATTTCAAACCATGAATAATAATGCATGAGCTTATAGCATTAATCATAAATTTCAAAAATAATATTTTTCCTCCTTAGAGATTTAGAATATTTATTTAATTATTTCCTTATTTCTACAGATTTTTCAAATTGATTTTTTAGTTTAAATCACAAATCAAATCTTTATTTTGTTTTCCTCATTAATAATAATTTTTATTTTTATTTTTAATTTAAATCACAAACCAAATTTTTGTTATAATAAAAAAAATTATTATAAAAAAAAATTAAATCACAAATCAAAATTCTATTTATTTATTTATATTAAATCACAAACTCAGAACTCAGAGGCTTCTGGGTTTAACCGCTCTTATAATACCATTCTTGCAAATTAAAATTATGTTTGTGAGAAATAAAATATGTCAAATGAGATGTCATTGCGTAGATCTTGAAAATTTATGTGGAATCAAAAAAAGAATTACCTGATTTGGATACCTGAGTCAAAAGTTATGGCCTTCAGAAGTTTTATAATTAAATTATTATTATTTTTTAAAATATGACACGTGTCAACACCTGATGAGTGACGCCCAAATTTAGGCTTGATTGCTTATTGAGTGACGCCCAATTTAAGCGTCATTAGTGACGCCCAAAATGAGCGTCTTATTATGCAATAAATATGTAATTATTTCCAAAATTGTAATAAATATGTAATTATTTTATTAAAAAACATTAATTAAATTTTTTTGCCGCGTATGCCGTACCTGAAATCCAGATTGATTAAACCATTCAGTGATTACTGTTGGGAATTTATATCTTTAAATAAGTACATGGAAAATTATCAATTACGATATTAATTACTAATTAGAATAAATAACAGAATGTCGGTATTGAAAAGGAAAAAAATAAATAAAGATAAAGGTGAAACCTAAAAGGTGACGTGAACGTCTGCAAAGAAGAAAACGACAACTTTTTGTTTGAAATGAGTAGCGAATATTTAGGGGAAAACAGCGAAAATATGGGGTAAAGAAAGGGTATTATGGTAAATTAACATCGAGACACCATCATTGGATGGATTTATAGCTCCGTGATTTCAACGCTACTTCTGCTTAACAGAGAGCACAAGATTTTCTCAGCAAACAAACACTCCTCCAAATTTTCCCAGAAAATTCAACTCCCGAGAAAAAAAATATACCTCACCGTCGACGACTCAAAGGAGAACATGTCGTGGCAAACCTACGTCGATGAGCACCTTATGTGCGAAATCGAAGGTAATCAGCTAAGTTCTGCAGCTATCCTCGGCCAAGACGGCAGCGTTTGGGCACAGAGCTCTTCTTTCCCTCAGGTTTCACTCGCTTCTCAATTCTCTTCGTGCTGATTTTGGAAACTCTACTTCCTTTCGCGTTATCGTTTCGGATCGGTTTGGTTTATTAGCGTTTTTCTTTTTTCTTTTTTTCAGATTTATCGAGTTCCGCTTTCTTTCTTTTTTTCCTTTGGATTCATCAGATTTGATTATGCATGGATGATTTCCTATGATCTCGGTTTTCATTTGATTTAGTTGTACTTATTTTCGTGCTCTTTAGGTTAGGTAATTGGAGATAATTGTTTATCTTCCGATTCAAGGTCCAACGCTTGAAGAATTTATGTGCATTTGAGTAGTAAATTAAGGTTTTAGAGAGTCATAAATTTAGTTATGGTGATTGGAGAAGCATTGGTGAAATTCAGAAGACATGATTAACTGAAGGTGTTTTGGATCATTATCATGATATGCATCAAATGCTTTTGTATAATTTAGTGCCGACAGATCTGATTTCATTTTGATTGATTCGTTTTTTTATTCATTGCATACATGTTTGTTTGTTTAGTTCAAGCCTGAGGAAATAACTGCTATCATGAATGACTTTGCGGAGCCTGGTACACTTGCTCCAACTGGATTGTTTCTCGGTGGCACAAAATATATGGTGATCCAAGGTGAACCTGGAGCTGTCATTCGAGGGAAGAAGGTAATTACTGTTTCTAATCATAGCTTGAATTTTGATTGCGTAAGTTCAAATATAATGTGATGATGATCTAGCAATTTAATTATTTCTGACAATTTTATTTTTTGCTATATAGAACATTAGAACCTGTGACCACCGGGTCACAAGGCAGAAACCCTGCTCGCTGTTGCACCATGGCTCACCCACTTTGTTTAGTATTAGAATCATGTAACAAATTGTTAAGTGAATCGCAGCCATCTCATTAAAATTTGACATTTTTTTTTTTTTAAAGTGAGAGTAACATGAGGTAATGTGAATGCAGGTGACCAACTAAAGCTAGGACTAAATTTTTAAAAAACTATGGCATGCTGCAATTATTTAAATATGCACTCATATATTACATGGGTTATATTTATCCCATGTTACATAAAAGAAGCCAATTTCCTACACACACAAAAGAGAGATGAGTCCCACCTCTATTTTTTCTCTCTCCTCTTATCTGTGGGTCCCACTTATAATTTTGTTTCTACTACATGAGAGAGATTTGTTCCTACAGCATAAGAAAACTATTTTCCATATTACATATCTAGGAAGCCAAAAAACAGGGAGTGTCGTGTCCGACACGGTGTCCTACATGTGGTCAACATTCCCGACACTTTGACCATTTCCACACGTGAATTTGACCGTGTCCAACATGCTCAAATGGTATTTTCGTAAAAATATTATATTTTTTAAAAAATTATTTTTTTAAAAATTAAAATATATTAATAAAGCTTCCACCTGATCATATCAATTTTTCCCCCTTTTTCCCTTTAAGTAGATAATAGATCATCTCGGCACCATCGTTGTCATTCCTGTATTCCTGTTACGCTTGTTACGCTCTTGCCGTGTCTCCTTCTCTCTAATCTGATATGATCTCTCTATCTGATATGATCTCTCTCTCATCCCAGTTCCTGTTTTTTTATTAAAGCTTCCACCTTCATAATGTTTGATTGTGTTCTTGATGTTCTTTTATTTTACAGTGTATTCAGTAAGTAATTTTAGATTTGATTCCTTTTCTTTTAGTTTATGTTTTTGCCTTTTGTGAAGAATGTTGCTACAATTCTTGGTATTGGGTGTCAGTGAATTTTTTGCTGTTGTTGCCATTGGTTACATCAGATTTTTGTTTTTTCTCTCTTTATGTAACACCTTGGATTCTGACTTTGAAGCAATTTTTCTTATGTGGTTTTGGTTTGGAAAGGAAAGTTGAAAGATAACATCATGATGGGTATCATTAATTTAGTTTCATTTTTTTGTTAAATTATTGAAGAAATATACACTATATAAATTAAAAATATTATTTAATATTAAAACGTGTTCAACGTGTTGAAATCCATATTTTTTTAGGGTTGACTTTTCGGAGTGTCGTATCGTGTCGTGTCGCGTGTTGTGTCGGTGCTACATAGTTACATATGATGGTATAAGAAAAACATAGATCTTTTCTAAACCTTCACTTATATTTGCTATCCATCTCATGGATTACTTGTGCCTTGTCGACGTGTCTACTGATTGTTTGTCAACCAAATTATATTATATAAATGCACATTGATGTACAGTACATAGACACTTTGAGCACTTCTTTCAACATTTAATGCTGTGTAATGATTGTTTGGCATCAAGTATTAACTGAAATTTGAAGCTTAATAACTGTTTTTCTAGTTCTGGATTCTATTGTGAAACATGAATATATATTGGTTCGTTTTTTTCTCAATAGCTTGTGCAGATATTGGCTTCATGCTGCTTTTTACCATTATAGTTAAAATCTCAGCTTTTTCCCCCATTATCCAGGGTCCTGGTGGTGTAACTGTTAAGAAGACCAATCAGGCCCTGATCATTGGCATTTATGATGAACCAATGACTCCGGGTCAGTGCAACATGATAGTTGAAAGGCTTGGTGATTATCTCATCGATACGGGTCTTTAATCCTCTTGGTATTTCTTGTTATCGTGCTTATGTTCATTGGCTTCTATACAAGGTTTTGCATCGACTTGCCATGAGAATGCTTGATTGCAATGTAATAATATTATTGGTATCAAAAGTCATGGGATCTGCGTGTAGGAAAGAAGTGTTTGGTGCTTGAGAAGTGATGACTATAATCTGTGGTGCTTTTTTAGCTGGTACTTGTATACATTATAGTGGTTTTAATGCTATGGCATAATGATTGACATAAATTTATTTAAACTTTGCTTGTTCTCATTTATCTTGGAGAAAGCTTTCATGATAAATCTCTCATTTCTTTTTCTTCTTTTCGTTCTTTCTAAACATTTTTTTGTCTTATGGTTTACTGTGAGGTATAAGAGTAGCCTCTCATTTTTTCTGCTTAGCAGACGTTGCCTTGTCTGTCAGGTCATCAACAATGTTTGACAGTATATACGTCGTAGAAATCCCTGTTATGATAACCTATCCAAGTGAACTTAATACAAACTTGGTAGTCGCAATATATAGAGAATAATGTTATCTATGTGGAGCCCGATTCAACTTTTAAAAATAAGCTTGAACTAAAAAATTTAGAAAAAAATGAAATAAACTAATACTGTGTTCGTCTCTTTTATGACTTGAGCATTGCAAGACTAGTATTTGGATTCATGGTGATTTTTCTCAAAACTTGCTGTTGGTATATCCTATTGTGCGTGATTAGATTTTAATTAGGAAAGTAAGGGCCTGTTTGAAATTTATTTTGAAAAACAGTTATTTGATTTTAGAAAAAATTTAAAAACTCGTCCGATAAGATATGTTTTTTAAAAAGAATTTAAAAATTATAACTTTTTTTTTAGTAAATTTAGAGAATATATTTGAGTTATTTTTTTTTTAATTTTTAACTTTTAAAATAAAAAAATATTTATTTCATTAATTATTTTACAAAATAGTATTAAGAACAAAACACAATGAAACACACCTTAAAGAACAATTGTTCTACGTTTCAGAATTGATTTTGTAGCGACATAGGGTGGTATTAGCGATATAAACTAATCATCAAGTAGATGAAAGATATCTGGGTCAGATAATGATTCTGTGGCTCATAACATCATTCCCTCCCTAGCAATTGAGACATAATATTCAAATGATGTGTAATATCCAACAAATTTTATCATCTCATTACTGGAGTTTAATACTTGTAGCCAACCAAAAAAGAGGTAGCTTACTAATTTTCTTATGAAAAAAGTGTCTATCATTTCAAAAGATATAAAGTTGTGTTATTTTAAGTGAGAGAAAGAGATAAATCATGAAAGGAAAAGTGAGGAAAAAAAGATTTAAAGATGTGAATTCCACCTCTTTGTGAAAGTAAAAGAATATAAGATGTGTCATTTAAAATGACACATCTTTTTCCCTTTTTTTATATGTCAAATTCCACATTATCTCAACTCTTCATCTTAACTAGAAAAGGCATTCGTTTTTTTCAGTAAACCAAGCAAAAGATATTTATAAGATAGCTACTTCCATTAATTCAGCTTCGCGATGAATATAAGAATGAGAAATAAATGCTATTATACTGCATACCGTACGAGGACTAACAGTTCCAGTTTTAATTTCTTATATTGGTTTTACACGTGTCATGTTATTGATTTACACAGAGTACGACCAGTCGTACTCTGTGTAATTCTGAAAAGTTATTTTCGTACTTTGTGTAAAACACCTAAAATAACACAAGCTTGTGTCATTCAAAAGGATACTTCTTTTTTCCCTAAGTAATATTATAAATTATAAATCCAAGGTTATTTCCCCTGTACCCAACTACAAAACTGGATCTGAACTTCCACATTGAAAACACTCGAAATACAAAACCAGGAGCAATATTTCTCCACCTTCTACAGTACAACTTTTTCATATAACAGCAAAGAATTTTGCATTTTTCTGATGCATTGGAAGAAACCTTTTCAAATCATTACTTTCCTTCATGCCAAAAGCAGCATGCATATCAACATGGTAAAATCATCAATCAAAGCTTGTCTTTTTCATAATAGCAAAGAAATTTACATTTTTCTGATGCTTAGTAAGAAAGCTTCTCAAATACTTACTTTCCCTTCATGCTAAAAGCAGCATGTAAAAATCATTAATCATGCTGCGCTTTCAAAAATCAAACTAGTCTTTTTCTTTTTTTTTTGTAAATAAACTAGTCTTTTTTTGCCATCAATCAAGCTTGTCATGCTAGTCCAATAGTAAATAGAAGGAAGATAAAGGTTAAAAGCAGAGCACTAGAAATCAATGAGGAAACTTCATTCGGTGAGGAAGTTGGAATTGAAGATATTGCTGTTGTATCACTTGCCACGGTTTTGTTATTTCTGCATAAACACAGTGGAAAAAGGCCCAAATGTCATGCTTACATTCTTAATTATAATGTTGTATAATATAATAATGTAAGGGACATCTAAAATAAAACTAACAAAACAAAACAATCTCAATGATTAAACATACCCAGTTCTCATGTAGATGCAGTTCTCATAGGCTGCATAATTGAAAACAAATAGTTGTTCAGTGAACAAAACATTCCACAGCAATACTTTCAGTTCAACAATCAGAGACTTAAAATGCATAGCTACTGTAAAGAACTTTGGGATACACCACCCCAAAAGCTAGCTCAAAGGGTGAGAGTGCCCAAGGCCTTATAATTTCACATTAGTTGCTCATACAACCAAATGAGGGATTATATATCTCAACACGCCCCCTCACAAAAGAGCCCATTGGGCTTGAAGAGTGGACAATGCAACAGGCCCAGCCTACCTGTGCTAAGAAACGTCACAAGAGAAAGTGGGGGGCGGCGAGGCTCTGATACCATGTAAAGAACCTTGGAATACACCAACTCAAAAGCTAGCTCAAAGGGTGAGAGTATAAAATCATTAATGTAGCCTCACCCAACAGCTTAAGCTTTTGGGTTGAATTGGTTCTTTACATGGTATCAGAGCCTCGTGTCCCGGGTTCGATTCTCGCCGCCCCCCACTTTCTTTCAAGTGGAATTTCGGTAGGTGGGCTTGTGCATTGTCCACCCTTCAAGCCCAGTGGGCTCTCGTGTGAAGGGGCGTGTTGAGATATATAAAATCATTAATGTAGCCTCACCCAACAGCTTAAGCTTTTGGGTTGAATTGGTTCTTTACAGCTACAAATAGGAATAAAAATAAGTGTGCAATAGTTTCCAAACAAATTAGTACATGACACAAATAGACAGAAAAAAGAAAAGCAAAATTGGAAATGGGAAGAAATGAACATACTCGGATCCTTATCAACTATTACACCTGTCCCTCCAAAACTACAAGCAACATCAGAAGCCCCATTTTGCTGGTAATAGCTATTAAAAGCATAAGATGCATGTGAGACCAAGTTATCTGGTTCAAAACAAGGTTGGCTAGGCTGGATAGCAGTACAATCCACATTGCCAGAAGAACCACAAGCCCAATCTATTGCATTCTGCAAATCAATTTGTGAGGCCTTACTTGAAGCAATGCACCATGTTGTTCCATTTGCCTCTGTAGTCATATCAACAGAACCTCTTCCAGTGTAATCTAGGTTATACACACTAGTCTGGTCTGAATAAAACAATCCCCAGTTTCTCTCAGATTCCAAACCAGGCTTCCTATTTTCATTGAACAACGAAAAAATGTATACATCTAACTCTTCTTCAGGCCTTGCAGGTGTACCAGTGTCATTGATAATATGCCTTATCAGATTAGTGTTGTATGTTTGTGCATTATCAGGAGTAGCAGCTGTCTCTTTTGGCGACCCTTTGGAAGGCCAACCTGTCTCGGTGACCATGACCTTAATTGTTCTGAAATTCAGTGCCATCAGTGCAAAATAAATAGCATCAACCTGGGCATCAAACATGTTTGTATACAGCAAACCAGTGTTTGGATCAATAACTTCAGAGGATAACTCAAACAAGGCATAGTCCAAGGACACTTTGTTTGCGGAGTCTCGGTAAGCATAATAAGGATATATATCAATCATAAAAGGTGATTGATTCTCTGCAAGAAATTCTAGCAATGGCTTAAGGAAATGTGCATGGCTGCTACTGAAAGCACCAGCAGAAGGTGGGAATGATTTAGACAGAACCCCAAGGGAATGAGTACTAGAAATTTTTATCTTTTTATGAAGTCCAGCTTTCTTGAGTGCTGTAAGGACATTGTTCATAGCAGGCACTACTAAAGCAGAAGCATTGTTGTGACTTTCTGTGACTTCTGCACCAACAGTTATGTATGTGATCTTAGTGGCTGGATAGTAAGGAAGGATGTTATTTCTCAACCAAGTGTCTGCATTTGATTGGAACTGGGACAATGGCAGCAAATCTAAATTTGGAATCCCAATCATAAGTTCAACTCCAGTGTTTGCAAAAGCCTTCAGAACCTGTATGTTAGAATCATAGATCCTCACATATTTGATTTTGTGAAGTTGGACTAACTGTGCCACCTTATCAGGTGTAGGGAGGTCATCAGCATTTCTTCCATAGCAGATCCCAATAAAACTCCCATAGCAACAATCTGACAGAATTTCATAAAGATCAAATAAAAATGATGTGTGTGTTAGTTGAGACTTAGAGAGACACACAAAATGCTAGCTTTACTAGTTGTATCTGCAACCCAAAACAAACTTTTTTATTTATTATTTGCAATTTATGTGGTTGGTTAATGATGGTTAGATGAACATCTGACTTGTACCACACAAATGAAAAGAAATAGATTACCCAAGTCATTTCAAGGGATTAATGCCTAGGAAGAACACTAGTTATATCATACTTTATTTACAAAAAAAAAAAAAAAAAAAAGTTGGACTTAAACCACTCTTTGAAAAAAAAATTAAGTATTCCATCTCTGAAATGCTTTATAGACAGGTTCACCACAAACAAATTCCAAGTAGACTCATATCATACCTACAACTCTGAATCCAGGGAATGTCAACACTCAACACAACTAAAACATAGGTAAAGGACCATTTACCAAAAACAAAAAAACAAAAAACATAGGTAAAGGACCATCTAATATGTAGAAATGACCCCCAACACATGACAACTATAAACCAAGACACTGAAAACAAGTGTACTTAAACACTAGCTAGAATACTAAAATAAAATAAAAAGAAGCAAAACTAGCAGACAAACATGGACATTGGCTAAAACAAGAGAGGTAGATGGAATGGGAATGTAATCGAATGAAGTAATAAGAACAAACCCAGAAGCATAAGCAAAAGTGATGCAGCAAAGATGAACCTAAACCCTCTTGTCATTGCTCTCTATATCTGAATGCTCATAAGATAGTGAAACCACTTCTTGTTCTTCTTCTTCTGCTTCAACTATACAAAACAGTGAAACACCATAAAGTAATGTAATGGTACCTGTCTCCCTGTTTATGTCTCTTTTTAAGTGAACTGTTTCAGTTTAATCAGTATCATAATATACAAGTCCTCAAATTATATAATAATACATAAAAATTTAGGGATTTGATTTTCTCGTGTTGCATGAGAATTCAATTCTTATGTTGTGACCCCATATTTATTAGAAAAAGAAAAAAAAATATTTTGCACGCAAATCAAAAAGTCACTAACATGAGAGTTGAATTCTCATACAACATGAGAAAAAGTTTTTCCAAAAAATTATATTAACAATATATAAAAATTAAACTTTTTTTGAAATTACATTTTTTACGTTTAAGTTAGATGCCAATGAAAATTAAAATTAAACAATGAAAACATATATGTATGAGTAATATTATTCATGATTAAAAAATCTTATTAATATTCTCATTAATTATAATTTCTTCTTTTGTCAGCACTTTGCAGGTAACAAACAAAGGCTATCAATTAAAATGACACTAATACTAAATACAGCCACTCAACACATTGAAATCCTAGCTTCAGCTTAGGATGTTGTCAGTGCAAAAGCACGGACTTCAAATTTGTTTCTCAATTTGAGTTTATATATTTTTCTCGATTCCAGTATTTGGGATAATGGCATGTTTGTTCTGTCTCCCACTTCCCGTACCTTCCTAAATATGCTTCTCTTGTCTCTATGCCTAAATTGTTATTTTTCCTCGTATGATAAAAATGAATAGACGAGTTAATACTTAATATGTTGAAAGGGAAAATTGTTGTTTATCTTTCAAGGAGGCGTTTGGTAAGCAGGATTCTTGAAGAATTTTGGGAAACTGAATTTTTCTAAATTTTAAATTTACGGATATTATCATAAACTGAATGTAAAAATCATAATTTTGAAAATTGAGATTCCCGGCTAAAAAAAAAATTTCTCATGTATCAAATGCCTCCTAAATAACACAACTTATATCCTTTCACTCTCACAAAGAGGTGGGACCCGCACTTTTATTTTTTTGTCAACTCTCTCTCCTCCTTTATCTATCTCTTTCTCACTCTTAAAATGACACAACTTTACATCCTTTAAAATGATACACATTTTTTCCATGTTGAAATCCACACAATCACATGCATAATAATAATAAAAAATAGAAAAAGACAGAAAGGGAAAAAGAATGGACACATGATTTGTCATATGGATATGGATCCTCTCATGTATAATTTAACATGATCATGTTATGTGAAAGATCTTAATCATTAATAATTAAATCAACGATGATGATGATGATGATTGTGTAACTTCTTATTCTTATATTTTTTCTCACTCTTCTCTTATCACCATTAACACACTCATATATGGTTATAATTGCCCTACATGACATGATCATGTTAATTAGCACATGAGAAAATCCGCTCTCGTCAAATATAGACTACGTTCAGTTGTCTGAATTATATTCTTCTCATCGCACTCACACTAATTATTAGTCACTCCATTTATTTAAACTCTACAATCCTCCAATAAAAATAAGGGATTTCCTTTCCTCCTTTTACATAAAAATTGTCAAATTTCCTGCTCACACAAAGAAACAATGGGTCCCGCCATTTTATAAAATAAAAAATAAGAAAAAAATGAGGCACAATTGCCTATGTTAGTGCAGGAAAAAGAATTCATTTTCCTGTTACATAACAAAAAGTTTACCGTAAAAATAAATATCTGAATACAAAATATGAGACATATTAACACTACATGTGTATAGTTGTGTACGTGAAAAGCATCTAAAAAGCACTGAATAAGATCTAGCAGTTTTTGAGCTCATATTTACATTGCATTATGTTGTATTTATATTAGTTATCTAATTTTTCTATAGAATATGGAATACATCCAATTGAGTTATTGTTGTGTTTGAGTATGAATGAATCTAAACATTCATTTGAAAAATATAATATTTTATGATGAAAAAAAAAATCATTTGTCTTAGGATTCCCCATTCTTCGGGGGAACTGTCATGTAATGAAACTCGTTTGATTTTATTTGAAATATGATCAAATAGTTATTGGTAGGGGTGTAAATGGGTCTACAAAGGCTTAAGACCAAGTTTATATCAAGTCAGATTTGATCTATTACAAATAGTCAAATAAAATAGGTATGAGTTTAAAAAAAAACTATTTAAAAAGCATATCATAAGCTTTTTTGTATATGTCAGGCCTATAAGCCAGCTTATATCATATTATTTATCTTAAATAAAATTATTATTTTAATTATTGAATGTTTAATAGGCTTAAATAGACTAACATGCCTAAGCCTAAGCTTTTATTTTTAAAATATAAGTAAAATCAGACTTGTAATTTAGACCTATACAAACTAACGGATCAGGTCAAGAGTAAGTATTTTTACACAAACTTAACATATTTAAATCAAAGCACAGCACCCTAGTTATTGGCATTGTGAATGTTTTCCCTAGATGATATGTGTTAGCTATAAATTATGCTTATTTTAATGGCTTTATTTTTACAATACTTGAGTTGAAGATTGGTTATAAGTGCAGGATAATGGGCCAAATGAGTACCAATCAGCTCAATAAGGTAAAAGAGAGAAAAGAAATAATTTGATGATTTACTATCATCTTTTACTATTTTTACTGCAGTTAGAGAGCCATATGAGTTATTTTTTGGAAGTGAAGAAAAAAAGAACTGGACCTTTGGATGAAGACAGGCATGGATGGACAACAATGAATCTTTGGATCTGTGGTTATTTTTAGTTTTAAATAGGAGTCTTAGATACAGAGATATACACTTAGCACTCTCTTTTGTAAAGTTTTTAGTTTTTCAATTCCAGAAGTTTGTTTTGAGTTCTTGAATATTTTTGTTAAGCTCTAGCTTTGTTCTTCTGAGTTCTGGTAACAAGAGCAAGCGTGAAACTCCTTTCTTGGAGGGATCCAAGACTCACCTACATGCAAGCTTTGGTTCTGTATTTTCTAGTCTAAATTTTCCATTTTCTGAATATTGCATTTATGGAATAATGGTTTGTACCTAAACTCTTTTCTTTCTAAGTTGGTAATGCATGTCAATTTCAATTTCAGAATTTATTTTTCATTTGCTTAATATGAATTTCTAAGTTTCTTTTTCTGGAATTCAAGATGAGTGGATAATTCTTCTTTTTATTGAACACTGTTATGCATCTTTTTATTTCATTTGATTTGCAACTCTCTTAATTTCAAGAAATCTTGGGAAAGAGTCTTGAACATTCTTGCATGAGCTATGATTGGGAAATCAAGTGAATGCATTCTTGCTAATTAAACCCTGGAGGTTAGGGATAACCAAAAGAGGTTTTTGATATAATTCTTGAAGATTTAGAAGACCTTGAGAAAGGACCATTCTAAGGAATAAATTTGGAACTGGGAATTTCCAGCTAAAATAGCCATAGTAATTCAAATTCTGTGATAAAAATGCCTTAGCAGTAGAAAAATGTAGGAATGCGAATTTGTTTGGGAAAACCCAAGATTCAAGAATTCCATAATCTTTTCATTGTTGATATTTTTTACTTAACCATTTTAGTTCCATTTGTTAATCCAGTTTTAATTACAAAAATCAATTTCATTCAATTCTTTAGTTTAAAAGTGAGATTACTACAATCCAAGAATTAAGGAATAGAACCAAGAAAAGAAATTAAAATCAACCGTTCCCTTACAACAATTCTGATCTATATTACCCAACAATATGTAGCACTCAAAAAGCCTGATTTAGTTTCACAGAGAAATCATAAAATCCAATTATGTAAATCATAAAAAACAGAGAAGGATAGCTTGAATTCATTTATTAATCTAACTCAAGGTAAATCATAAAATGTGTACAGAATGATAGCTTGAATCCATTAAACAATGTAACTCAAGGTACATCATAAAATTTAGTATTGCCTCGAGAATATTTATGACATTGTTAATTATTAATCATTGCTTAAGAAAAGAATTCTTTAAAAATAAATAACGATACTATATATTATTAAATATTAACTATATAATATGAAACTTCCTATATAAGTAAAATGAGCCATACATTAATTTTGGATAATCATTTAGTATTTAAAATATTAATCTAAAATGATTTAACATGGCTAGAGTGTATACATTATTTGAAAACAAATTTTTTTAAAAATTATCAAAATATAATTTAGTATTGAGTTAAAATTATAGACAAAATTGTAACATGCAAAACATACTGAGGAAAAAATAAATAATTTTTATGTTATAAGAAAACTTGTCATACTTTGTCAAACTAAATTAAAATTAATTTTACTTTCCTTTCTTTTTTCACTCTGTTTACAGTTGGAAGACTCATGTCTCTTTATTTAAGAAAAATACTAAAATAAGCTAATATAAGATATATTTATAGAGGAAGGTTATACTTACAATTTTTTTTTTACAACTTCTTACAACTATATCTTAACACCGTTGATTTTTCGCCATTCAACGAGTATTATTTTTATAAATTAAACTAATTAATTAATTATTAATTATTTATAATATGAACTAATTATAAAAAAAGTTATAATGAAAGTCAATGCAATCTAACAAGCCAAAATAAATTATATATAAGAAGTTTTACGTTAGAAATATGATGGAAAAATAATTTTTAAAAAATGATAGAAAAATTGAAACGAACGAGCACTGCTCCAAAGAAACGGTACAATCTAAGATAAAACCTATCCATATACAATTTATAATAAATGATTCGATTGTTTTACTCTACGTGGATAATTTATCTATATTGAATCTAAAATAATGTTATTTTGAGGTAGAAATTAAAGTATTTTTGCAATTATAATTTATTCCAGAGTTATAATAGTCTTTTTTATTATAATTTTTTAATCCAAAACGACATTATTTTGAGAGCAAACTTAGATAACTTATCTACGTTCAAAA